AAAAGTAAATTTGCATATGGATGTGCATTTGTGGCTTGTATTACATTTCTATGGAAAAGCGGTGGTTCTAGCATCGATCTCTGGCTTTTAAAACGCTGTTGAAGGCAGTTACACTTGGTGCTATGGGAATCTTACACAGAACTCCACTATATAAAGCAGGTAAAAGTGGAGCTGCCCAGGTGGAAGCGGGCATATTTGTAAGGAGAGGGGGTTGAGGTGCATGGTTGGGGGCTGGGAGTGGAGGGGGAGCCCTATCCATTATCAGGGCCTGGTCTGGCTCATTTATTATTGGATTGGATCATCCATTCATTTGAAATTGTGGGGAAAATACTCGGAGGAGGCCCCCATTCAATCATCCTAAGTGGAATCTGATCGTTATCTTGGGATAAACATTCCAAATGGAAGGTGAGTGCTGGGAGATAAGGAAGATAAGGAAACCATATGGCCCTGTCAGGAGGCTCCTAGGGCCTTATTCTTGAAAGGATTAATGAGTTCAAAGGGGGTGGTGGGGGGGTGGGGTCACCTCAGCTCTGTTTTGTGGAGGCAGAAGCCCCAAAGCCCCAAATAGGAATGTGAACTGTACTGAGGCAGGGAAGACTGGAACTCAAAATCCTCTCTTTCCTTTCTTGGGTTCTTCCCCCATCTGTCCACCCCTCTTCACAACAAAGCTCTTCAGACTGGTAGACATGGACCCTCAATCTCTAAACTGCACTCAGCATCCTAGGCCTTCAGGGTTTGGAGTATGGGATCTGCTCCCCCACCCCTTGATCTAGCAAAATTTCCTGAGACTCTACCTCTGCCCCCCCCCATCTCTCCCATTAGCTTTGGTGGCCACCAGAGTGGGTACACAGGGGAGAGGGGCTTTCCTGGCAGGTGTAGGGTTTTCGGTGGGCCTGTTGGGCCACATGGCAAAGCTAAGAATCGCCTGCCATGGGGGAAGACAGGTAATATGAGCCACGGAGAAAGGGATCTGGGGCTGGGGCGTGGGGTGGGGTGGGGGGAACAGAGGCAACAGGCTTTTGAGCACGTTCTCTCCTCCCCTACGTCACAAGGCACTTCATCCTTCATTCCTCAGGCACTGCTGTTCTTGCATAGCTGTTTTCAGACCCACAACTGGAAACTATTGAAGGCATTCAGTTTAGATGCAAAAGTGGGTGCTCAAAGCAGACAGGGTGGCTTCAGGATGGTGTGACAGTGGTCACTAATAAGAATAAGAATAATACAAAGAATAACCAGTATTTACTGAGGGCTCGTTTTGTGGCAGTGCCTACAATGATTGTCTCATTAAATCCATAATAGCTCTGGGAGATAGGTGTCATTTTACCAACGAGGAAACTGAGGCTCAGAGAGGTTAAGTCACTTGCCCAAGGTTGCACAGTTAGTAAGAGCTAGAGCCAGGAGCCAAACCCAAGAGGCTGAACCTAGAAGCCTAAGGTCTTGAGGTAGACAGGGGCCCAGGACATGATTATTCCTGTCAGACTTTGGCAGCCCTGGTCAGTGACAAGCACGTAGAAGAGACCACACCCCACCCCACCCCCCTGCTCACATTTTGGACAGCCCCAAAGTAACATGGGCAGTTGTACCTGGCTGCCAACCAAGTGGGCCCCTTATCCCCCACTCCCAGTATGGTCACATCTTAGGAAGAGGTGGGAACAACTGGGGTGGGGGCGCGGCAGGGATTGCACAGAGTTCCAGCTACACACTTCCCTGCCTTAGGCTGGCCCTAGCTGATGGCCTTGGTTTGGGGCTTTTCTGTGCTCTGAGCACATCTAAACATTTGGAGAAAAACAAGAAAGCGAACAATAGAGGCTTGTGGGCTAGAGGACAGGGCCGACTTCCCCTGGGGACTCAGCACTGTTCATAAGCTGCCCCAGCTGCACTCTCACGGTTGGGATGTCACTGGAGCCTGGCTGAATGGCAGCCTTGTCCTCGCTGGGGGCTGGCTACTGGCTCCTCTTATATATGGTTGGGGGGATGCGAATGCCAGTGAGGGAGCCCGGCGCTCAGGAGGAAGGCATGTTTTCGTGCCTGAATTTTGAGAAATCACACAGAAAAGATGCATCTGAGCCTTGGCATTGTAGTTCTGCCAAGTTGCCCCCTGACAGACATGTCCTGATCAGAGGTGTTTGCCCCACAAGAAAAGAATCAGCTTTCCATCGAGTGGACTCTGGGTACTGCCCCCAGAGAGCTCATGCTGCAAAAGGCCTGGAGAGTAAGAGGGACTCACTGGTGCCGAGATCAGTTTGCACGGCCGGAAATGGCCATGCTGCCTTCAGAAAGATGCGTGTTGGGCATCACACTGGGTGGGGTGGGAGGGTGGCCTATGGTGGGCTTCTCTGAGCTGTCCCCACCTTTCTATAGCCCAAGATTTTTAAGACAGTTGTCTCCCATTGTCACAGCCAAGGGCAGCAGGGCAGGGTGCTATAGGCCAAGAGTCAGTGGGTGCAGGGGTGCTTAGACCCCCCCCCCTTATCATTCACAGCTGATCGAGTGATGCCAAACAAGACCCAGTCAGGCTAAATTCCCCCATCAGGTGCTCCCCACATCTATCTCCCGGACCCCCGACAACTGTGAGGGACAGGGTGTCCTCGTCTGGATGGCCTCCCTGGAAAAGGCTGGAATATTTCTAAAGAGGCTGTTCAGACATCACATCACAGTCCCAGACGGCTCTGAGGTTCTTGCACTCCCTTGGCTGCCCTCCCTGGGAAATGCTTTGGATCAGACAGCACTTCTGGGTTGTTTTTGCCTGAGGAAAGTGGTAAGAATTCAGCAAGAATCCCATGGTTGAAGTAAAAGTCAGTGAATTTACTTACTAAAAGTCTTTGTAAAGAACCAGCCATCCAGGGGGCGTGAGGGCATATTAAGGTGGGGACTGAGGACACTGTGAGGGTAAGAAGGCCCCCAGGAGAGGGCACCTTAGGGACAAAGAGAGAGAGGAATTTAGAGACAAATGGTTTGGCCCTGAAGACTAAAGAAAGGGTTTTTCAGTGTCTAAGAAGTTCAAAATGGCTGCGCAAGGTCACACCTACAAGCACTGACCAACAGTGTTGGGCTGAAGAGGTCTCCTGGAGCGTATGCACTCCTTCTGCCCTCCAGTCCTTAGCAGACGCTCACCCAGGGCTGCCAAGACTGGATGTTGAGGATGTAAAGCTGAATAACAAACATCCTTACCCTCAAAGCTCTCACAGGCAAGCTGGTGATGGTAACACAGTGTGGAAAGAGCAAGGACAGAGGGTGGGCAGAGAGTGTGCGGTGGGAGTGCAGAAACAGAAGTGGAGGAAGGACGGGGGAGGGTAGGCAGACGTCTGAGCTGGGTCTTCAAGGATGAGCTGGGAGTCAGCCAGGCAGCTCAAGAGGAAGGAAGGCTAATCTAGGTAGAGGGCACAGACTGTGCAAAGGCTAAGAAGGAAAGCATGCCTCCCTCAACAACTCCAGGGGCAGCTGGGACAATGGCTGTGAAAGGAGCTGCTGCCCAAAGAGGAAGAGACTGGCCCCACGCTCTTTGCTTTTGACTCTCATGATTTTCTGTCAGCCTGGCACATGCGGGCTATGAAAACCTCCTGGCACAAGGGCCTCTATTAAGTTCCATCCCTTTCAGCACATTAATGAAAGGCCTTGTCCCTGCCTTTGGTGCTGGGGTGACCCCCACAGAGAATGTGTCTATAGGACACCCTTTCCTTTCATACCTAATGCTTTCCTGATAATCTGCGGGTCTGCCATGCAAGAGGCAAGCAGCAGACTTGCAAGTTATAAGGGAAGGATCTTTTCCCAAGGAGCTAAACAATATTATCGCTGTATTTTCTTGATTTCCAGTCTCACCCCAGATCCAAAAATCTGTCATTAAATCAATGCAGCTTTAGGACGAAAGGAATATGGGAAATCCCTAATCACACCCCACCTTTAGATACAATCTTTGACCATGTATGTCCGCAATTTCATATATGCTTTCTAGTTTTACTTTCTTCTTTCACAATTGAACACACAGTTGGCTGGCTTAAGTCCAGTGAGCTTTTGATTGAGGCTAAAATTCCCCAGCTTTCGGCACGCCTAATGATTTCCATCTTTGTCTCATTTCTATTAGGTTTATGAGAACTGCCCTTCTTATCACTAGCATCAGCACTTCATTTTTCCATTTTCCACTCATTCTTATAAAATAATAAGGTCAAAATGCAATAAAATATTCAAATACTTGCACAAACACTGCTGAACAGTCAAAAGTTGACGCTGCTGAAACTGAACTGTTGGCCGCCAGGCAGCGTTCCCGTGCAATGGCTTAAACGTTAGTTCATCGGCCAACCTGGGAGAGCTTGAAACCAGCAGTTGACTCAGGGGTCTGGGTGGTGGTGGTGTAGGTCAGTGTAGAATGTATAAAAAAGAAGCGTGTGCCAATGTCAGATGTACAAGCTGAAGGTCATGTGGAATGATCCCACCCTCTGAAGCTCAGTGGGGTATATATTCTGCTACCTCCTGCCCACATGGGCAGGCACTGACATGCAGCGAGGCTGTTAGTGACTGCTTTTTTCCAAGCAGTTCGCATTGTGTCACAGACATGCTCCAGTCAACCATCCAACATCTCTGAGATTGCAGGTTCGTGAGAGGAGAGGGGTTGTAGATCCCGCCATCTTATTTTACACCTGGGGAGATTCTGCACTAGTCACAGAGGGAAGTCAAGTTCTAGGTAACAATTTTCCATACAACTCAGCTGCAGGCTGATCTGCTGGCAGAGGGGCTGGGAGCTGCTGCTATCATTTCCAGAGATAGGGGGCTTACCGGCCAACAGCGTGGTGAAAGGACACTTAATGTTGCTTGAAAAAAATTCCTCAGGAGGCTGAAGAGTGCCTGGAAACATACCCAGGATTTCTCTGCCTCTTAGCAACCCTGGCAGTGGAACATGACTTACGTCTCTAAGCTTGTAGTTAGTGTGGTCCTTGCAAGCTCAGCAGTTCTAGGGGATATACTGAGAAGAGATTCCTAGTCTCTCCTCAGAGCTGCCTGCATACCAACGACCTTTCCTCAGAGCTTCTTACTCTTGAGTATCTTTTATGTGGAAAGGATTTTGTGAGGAAGCGGGTAGGTGAAAATCTGATCTTTTAGTCTGTGACTAACCAGCATGTTAGAGGGGAAAGAATTCAGTCCTGGGCATGGGAGACTTAGCCTGTCTTTCTGAGTGGCTCTGTCTTATCTTTCTGAGTGGTTCTGGACAAGTTCCCTCATTTGCAAAATAAGAGGGTGGGTCTATATGAGCTCTCAGCTCTAAACTCAGAGTATTGGTGAAATGAGACAACATGTGAAAATTATAAAGTATGATTTAAAAAATATATCTCAGGAAATATTTATGGTCTTCACATGTGCCAAGGCAATGTAAGTCCAACCCTGAGATTTATAACAAACCATGGCGGAGGATTTGGGGGCTCCTAATCAGGCCTAGAACCATCACAACAAAACTACAAAGCCCTTTGCTTCTGAATCAGAACCCCCAAGCCGGGTCCCCCTCCTTCACCTGCCCTGGGTGGAAGGGTCACAATTTCCCTTCAAGACTCTGAGGGGTATGGGGGCTTTGGTTGCAAGTCTGGATAGGGAAAACTCCTTTTGATTAAACACAGACCAAGCACACGGTTTTCAGAGTTGCTACAGCACACATTTTGTGTTTTGCTGTAAGTTTCCAAGACCTAGCCAGAAAGGCAGTATTTCCCCTACCTTCAGAGAAGAATATGGGAAAGAGAGGTGGGTTTTGCGATTTTTATTTTGCAAACCTCCGCAGAGTGCACGAACTCCTTCTCTGCAGCAACAGGTAAACAAACACCTGAGCTGGGAAGGAGAACTACCAGGTAGGTAGTCTGCCGAGAATGCCAGCAAGACAAGGGGAGGGAGGGGTTGGGGGCAGGGCCAGCTCTCCTGCGAACTGAAAGCCTACTTTTGTTTGAACCCCATCCCAATCTTCACCTACCAACCCTTGGGAGGGAGGGGCCATACAAGGAAGGTGTATTTTCCCCCAAGGGACCATTCCTAAAACGAAGAGGGACCTGAAACCTGTGGGTGCAGAAAGTCGGGGTGATGTCCTTTCCGCAGCGCCTCCTGTGCCGGGAACTTGGGGGAAGCTAGGTTCCTCCCCCGCTTCACGCTGTTGATGTTGGTTTGCGCTGGAATGCCAGGCTTTTCAAAGTGTCAGAGTGATTGGCACTTTCTAAATATGAACAGCGATGGAGTGATAAGAAACCAAGCGTCTGGCTTCGCGGGTTTGCGTCCCGCTGGCAGCCCGGGGGCTCCGCTGGGCCGGCGACCCTCTCGCGCTCGGGTGAAACCTCAGCACTCCCCTCCAGGCCTGCTTTGGAAACGGTTCTGTTCATTCTCAGGGTTCCCCTTTCCCAGTTTTTACTTCTGGGACAGGGAAAAAAAAAGACAAGGAGTCACTCCTCGCCACCTCATTCTATGCACCTAGGCCCACGGCTCAGCCCGGGTGACCCAAATGGCTGAGTCAACTGGGCGAAACAGGAGCGTCCCCAACGGGCCGCCCCCAGCCCCCTTTGCCCCTCGTTCGGCCCCACAATGAGCCCTTGTGCCGCGCCTGCAGCCAGGCCCGGGATTTGGCGCAGGGATGGGGGGAATAGTCGTCAGATATTTAAAACAGAGCCGAGGGAACAAAGCCGGCCTTTGTGCACGGAGGAAGCCGCGAGCTGGGAGCCCGCAGCCGTGCCGAGGGCTGCCCGGGCGCATGCGCGCGGCGGCCGGGCCGTGCTCGGGTGACCGAGAGTTTTCCACCCCCCGGGCCGCCGGGCCTTTGTTAACCCCTTCCCCGCCCGCTACCGGGGTCGGCGTAAAGAGGAGCCGGCTTTCATTTGCTGGCTGTAACGCGTTTAATTGAAAAAATAGTCATTTCCCATGTTTCTATAGGAAGTACAGATCATTAAAATAGAATGATATACCAATTGGGAACCCGGATTTTAAATGACTGGGATTTAATGGGACACTTGGGTCATGTAAAAATTGAGACATTTCCAAAAGATGCCTTCTTTGGACGCTAGCGAAGGCTTTCCAAAGACCTACTTGCTGTCTTGTGTATGCGGGGTGACCGACTGTTTCAGCTTCCTGTTTATTATCATTTGGGATTTGGAAAGATACGTTGGTTATTGTCAAGGTCCTGGCTTTTGTTTGGGGTTGTGGGTTGGACGGTGTTTATTTATTTTTAAAAAACAATTAAATATAAGTGGAGTGTGCATGGTACAGAGATGGGACTGGGCCGTGAACCAAGGAATATAATAATCCAAACTATGCACTAGAGTTTCTTATAGAAAGCAAGAGAGGGAGGGAGGAAAGAAGATAATAGTAGTTATTAAGCACATTTTGTTGTTGGGGGAAGGGATTGAAGAAGACTCTCAAGCAGGATAGACTAGGAGTGACTTGGCAGGGGGATGGGATGTATATAGTACCTCTTCCTGTTTTATACTCAATGATTGCCCCCCAATATGTAATGGACGAGTGACAGGCAGAGGCTGGGGGAAGCCAACTACAGGCTTAGAAGTGAGTTATTATGCTCGAATTATCCAGATGGGTAGGAAGGACAGTCTCAAACCACCGGGTGATTCAATAGTCTTTCAAACAAGGCTCCTGGGCCCAAGTCCAGCAAGGTTAGATGGACAGCCCCACTCAAAGCAAGTCAGGGAAAGTGGAGGGAATCAAAGGGACATCTCTGGCCTGTACGCTAGGACTGCGTGCACTAGCCCACTCTGCTCTGCCTGTGTACACACATCTCAAGAATGTATGGCCTTTTCTCCATCCTTCGTAGCTCAATTACCAGGTGGTCACAAGAAAGCACAGAAATTTCTATGTGAGATCATCTTGGCAAGAAGCTCCCTTACCATCCTTGACCTCCAGGTCTCCAGGGCAACCACTGCTGGGACGTCACTGGTACTAGATTGTGTCCTTAAAGGCCACCCTGCAGCAAGGGCAGATAAACAATTTTGGGGTAACAGTCACGTAGCAAACTCATTCTTAAATGAGGGCTGATTACTTAGAATGACATAAGTGGTATTTTTCCACTCTCTTCCACTTTCTGGCCCAGAATTCTGGGCCTAGAACATAGTCTAAGAATGTACCTTGGGGTGTGAGAGAAGAGAACAGTGTGGGGGAGGGGCTTGGAGAGGTACTTTCTTCTAGGCAGAGTGACAAAGTCTCTTTCCTCTCAGCTCCCCCAGCTCATTAATAATTTCTTCTCCCTTTCTCAGCTCAATAAAGGAATTTTATCTTTATATAAAGGGAGTCGTGGTAGACAGTCTCCAAGATGGCAGCTCTCAAATCTTTCCCTCTTGTTGTTTGTATGCTGTTTCCCACCTCTTGAATTTGGGGTAGCCACAGTGACTTGCTTGACCAACAGAATATAGTAGAGGTGACGTTCTGGAACTTCCAGGGCTTGATTATAAGAACCCTTGTGATATGTACTTGGGTCCCTTAGAACCTTCACTCCTGGGATACTCGCTCTAGAAACAGGCCACCATTCTGTAAGAAGTCCAAGCTATACAGAGAGGCTAGGAATAGGCACTATTGTCAAGAACCTTAGCTGAGCTCTCCGGCAACATTCACATCACTGCCAGCCTGGTGAATGAGTGACGTCCAGCTCAGTGGAACCTATGATTGACTCTAGCCCTAGGCACCATTTGACTGCAACTGTAAGAGATCCTGAATGAGAACCAGCTAGCTGAGCCCAGTCAGCAGAGATGGAAGAGATAACCATCAATTGTTTTAAGCCACTAAGTTTTAGGGTAGTCTGTTATGTAGCAATAGGTAATTGAACAGGATTGAAATGCTGGATGGGGAGTGTAGAGAGAGGAGAGGAACTCCTGATATCACAGCCACTTTAAGGGGCTCTATTTCTCAGTCTTGCTTGTCCCCCTGTATAACCCTAACACCATCCCTCCTTTCTGAGCTATGATCGGCACAGCACACAAACCTTGTGCTGCTGCTAATTGTTCCATGTGCATTCGTTTTCTCAGTGTGATGGTGGGCACCCTGAGGGGAGGACCCTGACTGATCTATCCCTACCCTCCCCTAGTACTGGCAGATTCGTCAAGCTGTTCTAGAGGAAAAATATGGAGAACAGCTGGAACAGCATCTCAAGATGCTTAAGTGGCTTGGTTTCTGATCTTTGACATTTAATACCTGATACCTTATATCATCACTGCCTGGACTCACCCAGGAGCCAGCCACACCATGGAGGAGTCTGAACTCCACCGACACTGTGGCCTCTCAAGAGAAGGAGGTCAGGGCCAAGGGTGCAGTTGTATCTCCTGGTTAGATTTGTCCCTCTGGGGGATCTAGGACCAGAGAGAGGACACATGTGATAGCTCTGGAAACCAGAAGGAATTTTAAAACTGTGTGGATGGGAGCAAATCCCATAAGGGTCCAAGCCCCCAGGACTCATTTGTGGAGCTCCCAGGAACAGCTGAGAGCCCACTGTATGAAGGACACTTCCTCATGTTCAAGGTCTCCCTCAGCTGCCCATCTATGGACATGTGAGCTTAAGCACGCCAGGGTCAGTGGTGGAGAGGCAGGTCAACCTGATGCCTGCTCAGGAGCCCTGCTGGGCCCAGTGCGCACTCAGAGCTGGGGAGGGAGGGAGGAGAAAGGCAGGGCATGGGCAGCTCAGGAGGAGCTCCTTCATCCTGTCAGTAAACATTCACCTGTGTGCCAGGCCTGTCTCCTGGCACCAGGGATACAGCAGGGAGTAAGGCGAAGTCCCTGCTGCCAGGTTAATCGCCTTCTGGGGGAGTTGTATCTCAGACATACGTGTCACCTACATAAGCAGAGCTTGGCTGCAGTGAGAATCAGGGGAGCTGTGGTCTTCCCTCCTCGTTATATCTACACTTTCTGATTCATTAAAGACCTGGAACTCCCTGTGCTTCAAGGTGGTAATGAGTGTGGGCCCTAAAGCCACATTATCTGGGTTTCAAGTCCTGGCTTCACCACTTACTAGCTTGTGATCTTGGGCAAGTTGCTTAACTTCTCTGAACCTCTTGCTCCTCATCAGTCAAAATAAGAATAGTAACATTGCTTCATCTCAGGGTTGTATGGGGATT